TAGTTATAATTTATTATATTATATAATTATTTTTATAATATAAAATAATATAAAAATCTATTATAATAAAAATAATATAATATAATATAAAATAAAAAATATAAATTATACAATAAATTAATAAATAATTATATAAATAAAATATATAGTATATAATAAATTATATCATAATAATAATATTATATATAATATATATTATTAATATGTAAGTTTATTAATATCTACATAATATGAGTTAAATTTGTATATATTACATAATAAAATATATGTATAATATTAATCTTTATTTTTTCGGTACTTCGTATAAATTATTTTAAATAAATTGTTTTGAAATGTGTTTAAGTAAGGATTTGTATTTTTAATTATTAGATTAATTATATTTTTAATTATTTAATTCGAATTCAAATGACGAAATTTAATCTCAGAACATAGAGCCATAAATTTAATCGTATAATTTTTAATCGTTATAATTCTGTTTTTTTTAAAGATTATAAAATAAAAATATTGAATTTTTATTTTTATAGATGAAAGATCTTCAACATGATCATTTGGTACGTTTTTATGGTGCCTGTGTCGAACCACCACAATGTTGTTTATTGACGGAATATTGCCCTAAAGGATCTCTTCAGGTTAGATTGTAGTAATATCGTTTAGAAAATCTTATTTATCCAAGGGGAAATAGAGTCACTGATTGGATGTAACGTTATTGTCAGTTCTGTTTTTACCGTTTCATAGGACATACTGGAAAACGAACAGATTAAACTCGATCGTGTGTTTTGGGGCTCCCTTATCCACGATATAGTACGCGGTATGGCTTATTTACACGCTTCCGAAGTGAAAAGTCACGGAAATTTAAAGTCGAGCAATTGCGTAGTAGATTCTCGATTTGTATTAAAAATCGCTGATTTTGGATTACACGAATTGAGAAGGTCCAGTTTGATGGAAGAGGAAGAATTTGATAAAAGTAGCTACGCATATTGGAGACGTAAGTAAAATTAATAATCATTTACTCTGTATATCATAAAAATAAAGACAAATAAAGGAAGAAATATAAATTGGTCAAGTTATGAAAAAAATTATCAACTTTACATAAGTTAAGTTTGAAAAATTTTCATTTATTTATTTTTTATATTTCTTTTTATCAAGTTTTATTGATTTATATTTTATTTCTTATTTTTATTGTGTAATATGTTTTAATGGGATATTTAATAGTATAAATAATTTATATTTATAGTATAATATATATTATTATATATATTATATCTATATTATATATCTATTTTATATATATATATAT